TGCACCTGTGTGTGTGTGTGTGTGTATATATATATATATATATATTAGGGGTGCTCCTAGGGCTGGGAGCGATATAGCAAAAAAAATGTATCAACGATATAATGTTTCATATCGTTTGGTATCGATAATTATGTGTTTATATAAAAAAACAGATATTCTGTACTTTAACAGTTTTATGGTAGAGTATGCAAATGTACATCATACAATGAAATAAGTGATGAATAATCACTGTCAGTCTCTCAAATAGTGTAGAAATGCATTAGAATGCTGACAGTTTCAGTGCTGTTTACGGACATGTGGACAAACGCTTTCACTCTAATGAAAGATAAGAGTTTTATTTCTGTTTGGGGCAGCGTAATATCTTCATAGCCATGTTTCAGGACTGACTGCAGCATGAATGCTCTGCATGCAGAAGGAGTGAACAAAAGAAACTGATCAGCTCGCTCAGACTGAGAACTGAGACAAACAGACACTAGCAGGAAAAGCATTTGTAAATTTGCAACACTGAGCAATCAGAGATCTGGCCTGGCTTTCTCCTGGCTTTCCAGCTTGTCCAACAGCATTCTGTCTGCATCTGTTGGCCTGCTTCTCCAGACAGCACCTGACTGGATCAAACCCATCGCCAGCGCATAAACAAATGCTAATAATCTTGGCTGAGATTATGTTTTATGGTTGTTTGCTTTATTTTTGTCCTTCGTTGTCTCTCTCTCCTCCCGTTCAACTCTTTGATGCCTTATGCACAGCAGAGCACAGATATGTTTTTCACATCTTATGTTTATTTCAAACTACAGAAATTTAAATCCATCTTCTGCTCCACATGAAACAGCAGTTCATAAACCGTATGATTTCTATTTACCAATTTAGTTTTATTAGTCAAGAGATACTGCTTTTTCATACTGCTTTGTAATTATGACTTAAGATGTTAATGCATTCATATACTGTAGGCCTACGCAGAAAATATTCAGGTAACACTTTATTTTGATGTTTTTGATTTCATTTTGATGTTAACTTTGCAAGTGCATGTCTACTAACCCTAACCTAACAGTCTATTAATACTCTAATGAGAATTAGTTGACATGCAGTTGCACTAAGTTACTTATAGCTAGTAGAATGTGTAAAGTGGACTATCAAAATAAAGTGTAATCAATATTTATTCATTTCTTTTAAAGATTGCTTGAGTGTTACACCTGTTCCTCCTGCATTCAGCCTTCTGATAGATCCGCTCACTACTGAAGTCAACTCACAAATCATTCAGTTACTGACTGAAATGGTTTTTGAGCCAAATGAAAATATTGATTCTATTTTTTCGTCTAGATGTGACCGAGCTGGACACCATTCCAAAAGTCAATTCGAGAATACATTTTAAATTCCAATTCATATTTTAGAAAGACCACACCTGTCTATTTATGTAAATGCATATCAGAGCAAAAACCAAGCCAGATAAAAACCTGCAGAGCTCAGAGACAGGATTATGACGGGACACAAATCAGAGGAAGGTTACAATAAAATAAAATAAAAAGCTCCCAAGAAGTATGGAACAACCAGGACAGGATGGAGAATCATAATTCAGATTTGAATTAAATGTAGTAGAATTCCAA